TTTATATTTTTTTGTTGTTGTAAGCTGTGACAATTGTTTTAGTATGGGCAAGCCTCTGAGCAGACCAGATTGCCTCAGACAAAACCCTTCCTGTGTTGGGAAGGGGGAGGAGGAGGATATGAACATTGATGACTGCTATGTGCCCCAGAGATCCATTTATGACACCGTCCGGCTCAATGAGCAAATAGACTCGGGCTCTAAAGGTAGTCTTTCTTCCCGTCACTTCACAGGCAACCTCCCTTACACCCATCGCACGTTAGACCTCAGTAGCCTGTGTGGAAATGGAGCTCTCACTCCTTCTAGCTCATTTGAGATCCAAACCAGAAAACCTGTCACGCTAGATGAGCGTGCCATCTTTGATGGACTTAAGCTGAATGGGGACATTATTAGGGTGAACGACACAGTAATGTCGAAGTCACGTCTGCAGGGAGGAGAGAAAAAGGACCATGGCGGTCATCATCGGCGGTCATGGCGGACTTTTGCCCCCACTAATTTGGGCGAATACGCAAGCCGCAGTGGAACAGTGAGTTCTGGTAGTGCGGAGAGGCCTGGCCTGATCAATGGCAAAAGAGGACAGAGTAGGACCAGCTCACTGACATCTGAAGAGGACTCGGGTTTGTACAGCCCTACTGTGGAGAGGGAGCGACATGGTCGTAGATCCCACATAAGAACAGGCCCCGGTACAAGAAGCTTCTCATCTTCCGAGGCAATGCATGTGTCTGGGGACCTGAAAACAGGGCGATCGCTCAGCTCAGGGCAGGAGGACTTTCCTTTCTCGCCTGTGAGGGACAACCAATCTCTTTACCACAGTAGCAGCTTGGTTCAGGGGACAGAATCCTGTGGGATCAAGGTTAATGAAAGGGATAACCTAAGCAATGGAGATTATAAATCTTCCACAGGGAGGTCATCTTCAGGGTCAGCCTCCAGAGCTCAAAATGACACCTCTGGATGGCGTTCCAGGACTTTAACAGACTATGATGAGCTATCCACTGCTGAACTGTTAGAGGATGTGTCATCTCAGGATGACTGTGAGTTGGTTAGTGTGGTAGTGACACAGCCTGAGACTTACGGAAACTCTGTAACTCTACCCACGGAGAGCTGCCAGCAAACACAACCCGGTACTGTACAACAAGGAGCATCCAAATACAGCATGGAGGAGCTGGAGGAGTTTCTGCAGTCACTGGAAGCCTGTCTGCCTAAAAGTATACAGACATTCCAGCACGCAGGGGAGCAAGAGATCGAGGCTTTACTGAATGCCATTGCTGCGTGCCCCGAAATGGACCCTATGGGCTTATTGACCCCACAGGTGGCCCAAAATAGTTTCTCCCTCCATTTCTGAACTTTTGACCACTATTATGCATCTCTTTAGATACATTTTTCATGGATGATGGATTGGTGTTTGTCTTACATATCTGATTACACGATGGGTGAATGAGGTTTTTCTCAGCAGCCAGACTGGAAGTCTGTCTGCGTGATTGTGTACAGCTGGGATTTAACCATTAACCAAGCTGATGACTCCTTAACTGGTTAAACAGTTGAATGTGTTAGCTGGATTTTTAAAAGTTAACCTAAAGTGTTGATGTGGCGATTGTAGTCTCTGGACATGAATAATGAAATAACTTCCTGGGATTATGCACTGAATTTATGAATTTTTATGTGTGTCTTTTTTTTTTTAGCTGTTTTTGAACTAACTTATAAAACAGGACGTTATTGTAATTCACCTTCTCAAATTCCAGATTTGTTGAATGAATTCATGGAAATATCTGTTCTTTCCATACACATAATGCAAGTTTAATTGGATTTGTATGAATGTGATTTTTCAAGGCCACAGGAAATAATGTCCTGAAGATTAATGACATTGTATTTTGAGCAATTCTAAAATATTCATTATGATTTGTTCCATGTCTATTTAGGCTTTTCAGAAAGAGGACATTGATCCACTGCAGAACCAGCTTCAAGACATCAATTCCCTCGGGCAGGGTCTGATCCAGAATGCTGCTAAAGGCACTAGCACTAAGAAACTCGAGGACGACCTGGAAGGTGTCAACTCTAAGTGGAATACCCTCAACAAAAAGGTTACACGTGTTTGTGGGGTTTTTTTCCGTTGTGAAAATATGAAGACTTGACCTTGGCCCTTAAAACAGGTGACATCTATATTTACCATTTGGTCTGCAGATTGCTGAGCGTTCAGCCCAGCTGCACGAAGCCCTCTTGCACTGTGGCCAGTTCCAGGATGCTCTGGAGTCCCTACTCAGCTGGTTGACTGACACGGAGGAGCTCGTGGCCAATCAAAAACCTCCGTCTGCCGAGTTCAAAGTGGTGAAGGCACAGATACAAGAGCAGAAGGTAAGCCAGTGGTGCAGTCACAGATTCACACAAAGAGAAAACACATTGAAGTCTGTTTTAATGTTAGCACTTCAATACTTCATGTTTGCTTAACATTGGCCCCGCCATTAATTTTATTTAATTGGCATTAATTGTTAAAAACAAGTGTGGTACACAAAGCTTTGTGTTTAAAGAGCACTTCTTTTTTGTTGGGTAAATTTACTGGGTTTTTTTTTTTTTTCAAAATAAAGCAATGAAAAGGCACCCAATGACTCTCTTTCTTTGTTTGCCTTTGACAGCTCTTACAGAGACTGCTGGACGACCGAAAGCCGACAGTGGAGCTGATAAAAAAGGAGGGAGGGAAGGTTGCTGAACTGGCAGAGTCTGTGGATAAGGAGAAAGTGGCAAAAGAGATTGAATGCCTGGGACAGAGGTGGGACACGCTTCTCAAGAAGGCTGAAAACAGGTTAGCATAAACACTGCAATGTAAAACCATAGACTGCATATAAAAGATGGGTGGATCCTCAATATTTAAAAGCGAAGGTGCATTCTTTCTAATGACCAGCAGGAGTAAGTCTGTTGGTTGGTATGATTTCAATCTCCAGGCACAAACAACTAGAGAGCATCTTAGTGGTGACTCAGCAGTTCCATGAGACTCTGGAGCCACTGAGCGAGTGGCTGTCAGCCACAGAGAAACACCTCGCCAACTCTGAGCCAATAGGCACTGAGACTTCTAAGCTGGAAGATCAGATATCTCAGCACAAGGTAATATCCATCATTTTTCATCATTTCCATTTGTTTTCATGCTTTTTTTAAACTATCAGTTAAGTTCACTTCAGTTTTATTCATTTTGCTTGTTACTTGTAAGTTTGCGCTTCTCATTATTTCCCATTCATCTTTCTAAATTTCAGTTGAATATTTTTTATCACGTGTTTGTTTTTTGTTTGTCATGTTTTCTTGGTCCATTTCCCATCCCCTGCCGCCAGGCATTAGAGGAGGAGATTATGAATCACAGTAAAGACCTGTTTCAGGCTGTCAATCTTGGCCAAATGCTCAAAACTGTGAGCTCAGTGGACGATAAGGAGTTTGTTCAGTCTAAACTGGACACCGCTCAGGCCAGTTACATAGAGCTCCAGGAGCGATGCAGGAGGAAAGCTGAAATGCTTCAGCAAGCTTTGGCAAATGCCCAGCTGTTTGGAGAGGATGAAGTGGCTCTCATGAACTGGCTCAACGAGATACACACAAGGCTGAGTGAAGTGTCGGTGGAAGACTACAGACTAGAGGTTCTTGAAAAGCAGCTGGCAGACCAACGGGTATACACTCCTCCTCAGGCCACACATTTTGTAGCTCTTTCATTTAAGTTGCATCAATCATGTTTCAGTTTATTTTGCTCTTTTGTGTGTCACCATAGGAACATTTCTTGTTACTCTCAGTGACTCTCTGAAGTCTGTTTTTTTTCTTTTCAGGCACTGCAAAGTGATATTGGCTTAAGGAAGAAGAATGTTGACCAAGCCATCTCCAATGGGGTAGAGCTACTGAAGCAAACAACAGGCACGTCTTCATTTATCAGTGTAGCAAACAGTTCTGTCTCTGTACTACTCATCATAAGGTTTATTGGCCTTTTTATTGAGCAGTGACGTTTTGCATGAATTACGTTGTTTTCACATCTATGAACTTCTGCAGAGAAATAGATTTCTAATTTTTCAATGATGGTGAGATAACACCTGTCTGTCCAATGGGATTTATATTTGTTTATTGCCAACAGCCAGTTAGCTTAGCTTAGCATAATAGAAATGCTTAAAACACAGTAGCTGCTAGCCACCATCTATTTAATATAAATCTCCATATAAGTATATATTTTGTAGCAAAAAGAGAGCCCTGGTTGTGCAAATAAGCACGCTTTGTTACTTTTGGACAGGGGCAGGTAAACTTAAGGTTACGGATAAAACCCCTGTTCTCTGATTTGCATAGTACAGGACAAATACAATTAAAAAAAAAAAACTCCTTCTATGTTTGCAGCCTTTGTGATCAGCTTAGCTAACCTTCAGCTAGATGTATGTTGCTATAAATTTAATATGCCGATTGTAAATGACAACATTGTGTAGGATGCAGGCTTATTCTTTTCTGTTAACCTCATGAATTTTGGCCCGGAGTTCAGCTAGCAGGAAGTTGTTAGCATAAGGTATCTCTGTTTTAGAACAAAAGAAGCATATGACAGTGAACATTATTATTTACTTTATGTCTATAGGTGATGAGGTGATCGTTATCCAAGGCAAACTGGATGGAATAAAAACAAAATATGCTGAGATAAACTCTATGAGTGCCAGTGTTTTAAAGACACTGGAGCAGGTTTTGAGTCTGTCTTCTAAGCTGCAGCATACTCACACGGATCTGAGCTCATGGCTAGAGAAAGCAGAGGCTGAGATTAACAGCTTTGCTCATCAGGAGCCAGTCGGCGAGCAGCTGATTCATTCACAAAACAGGCAGACGGTAAGGATTTCTACAACTTTGTGCAAAACATTGTAATTGTATTCATACAATGCAGCAATGCATTTATTACTTATGAACTGGTGCTTTCTGTCCAGGCCATGTTGAAAGAGATCAAAGACCAAAAACCAGTGTTGGACCAGCTGAATGAGTTGAGCAGTTCACTCTTGGATTTAATCCCCTGGCACACTCGTGAGAGTTTGGACAAACTTGTGTCTGAGGATAATGAGAGGTACAGAGCTGCCTATGACACTTTGACCCAGAAGGTCGACCAGATCAATGCTGACATACTCAAGTCACAACAGGTAAACCACATAACTTAACGCACTGCCTTTTATTCTCATTCGACTGTCTCTCTCTATTTTTTAAATGTATCTCTTGTTTTTTCTTGTTTCCAGTTTGAACAGGCCGCAGACAATGAACTCTCCTGGCTAACTGACGCTGAGGGGAAACTGCTATCGATGGGTGAGATCAGGCTGGAGCAGCACCAAACCACAGCTCAGCTCCAAGCACAGAAGGTTAGCCGTGTGTGTGTGTGTGCATGTCTGTGTGTGTGCGTACAGATCTCTATTTAAACAAATTAGAGTAAACACAGTGGTTTCTTTTGTTGACATACAGCCAAACTCACTCTACTGGTTTTACAGATTTTCTCCATGGACATCATGAGACACAAAGATGCTGTAGATGAGATTGTGAAAACAGGAAAGGCCATCATGACCAGCAAAAACCCAGAGGAGAAAGAAATCTTAAAGGTAAGAAAATATATTTCAAATTTCAGACATTTTTTCAGTAAGAAAATGGACAGAAATTTCAAAATGATTCTTCTTGGGCTTCAATCAGGCCAAGACACAGACTCTCCTCGAGAAGTATGGTGTCGTCAGCCAGCTGAATTCAGAGCGTTGTCTGCAGCTTGAGCGAGCCCAGTCTCTTGCCACTCAGTTCTGGGAGACCTATGAGGAGCTGGGGCCATGGCTTCAGGAAACTTTAAACACCTTCAGCCAGTTACCCCCGCCTGCCATTGAGTACGACACGCTCAGGCAGCAACAAGAGGACCTCAGGGTAAGTGGTCAATGTGCGCTGATGCTCAACACAAAACATTTAGTCACATAATTAAAAACTAAACTGATCATGTCACATCCTCTCCAGCAAATGCGGGAACTGATTGCAGAGCACAAGCCCCATATTGATAAGATGAATAAAACTGGTCCTCAGTTACTTGAGCTCAGCCCAGTGGAGGGTGAGCCCATCAGAGAGAAATACACAGCTACTGACCAACTTTACACCAAACTGAAAGCTGATGTCAAGCAGAGAGCTGCCACTTTGGATGAAGCCATCTCCAAATCCACTCAGGTAAGCAGTAGCTGTTTATTAGGTTTGATTATTTGATAATATATGATTATTGGGAATAATTAAGTTGATCATAGTGATGTCTGGTGCAAATGGTGGTCATAGTTTGCAAATGTAAACATCAACATTACCTTGGCTGTTAATTGTCTATTCAGTTAGTTGAGTAGCTTTTACATTTTTGAATATGTGCAAATTTGTCAAAGTAAAAAATAATTATACAGATGTGTTCTTGTTTCAAGGTAACTTTCCATAATAAAATCCCATGATATAAATTATATATGCAAACTGACGTGTTTCCTTTCCTCCTTTTCCAGTTCCATGATAAAATTGATCCCATGCTCGAATCCCTGGAACGGATCGCTGAACGCCTCCATCAGCCTCCATCCATCTCAGTGGAGGTGGACAAGATCAGGGAGCAGATTACAGAAAATAAGACGGTCTCTGTGGATTTGGAGAAGCTGCAGCCATCTTATGAGACACTGAAGCAACGAGGTGAAGAGATGATCGCACGATCCGAAGGGGCAGACAAGGACCTGTCTGCCAAAGGTACGGTATAGATATGCTTTCAATCATTTTTTATCCATTTATTATTATTTATCAAACATCAAGCTTTTCTCCAGGTGCATGTAGCTTTTATGTATTTCTTTTTTCAGGATAAATAACGAATCAAGAAAAAGTCCAAGTTTCCCGCTGTAAACGTTGCTGTAAACGTTGCTGTAAACGTTGCTGTAAACGTTGCTGTAAATGTTGCTGTAAACGTGGAAAAACTTTCTTTGCCTCATTTTGTATTCCTCCTAATTGTGACTTTTTCTCTGTTCAAGCTGTGCAAGACAAACTGGACCGCATGGTTTTCCTGTGGAACGACATCCAGGCATTGGTGGAAGAGCGGGAGGCAAAGCTGCTGGATGTGATGGACCTCGCAGACAAGTTCTGGTGTGACCACACCGCCCTCATCGTCACCATTAAGGACAGCCACGACCTGCTGAGGGAGCTGGAGGAGCCCGGAGTCGATCCTTCAGTCGTCAAACAGCAACAGGAATTTGTGGAGGTAAATAAAAAAACCTATTACTTTTGATCATTAACAAATGGATAATTAAGAGAGGTGGTGCACTTTGATTATTAAATAATTAAAAAAACAATGCATCCATACAGGGATTTAAGGAGGAGATTGATGGGCTGCAGGAGGAACTCGATGGGGTTCAAAACCAGGGTGCGGAGCTCATGACTGCCTGCGGGGAACCCGATAAACCTGTGATAAAGAAGAGCTTGGATGAAGTAATAGACTACACTGAAAAGCACTCACTCTACAGGTTTTGCCTACAAGATAATCATGCTAAAATATTTGTGTTATTTTTTCAGGTGAATACAGCGTGGGAGAATCTCAATAAGATGTGGAAGGAGAGAGGAGAGAGACTGGAAGAAGCCATGCAAGCTGCTGTGCAGTTTCAAGATGGCCTGCAGGTACTTTGATCACTGCCTCAAGAGCAACACAATCAGAAAATTAAAGGGTTTAGAATATTTAAAAAGTTTTGAAACAGCAGACCTTTTCCAAAACTTCCCAGTCACGGTTCTCGTGGTTTTTAACTTTATTTGATGTGATCTTTTGGAAGCCTAGGAGTAATGTCATCTTTAAGGGCTAAATACTTAATATCAAGCTACACAATATACAAGCACTTGTTCATCACAAGATGTTTGATATTTAACAGATACAGTGAGCCAGGGAGTTTCCGTGGCCTTTTGATGAAACCACATATTACCATGCAGTCGATCTAACAGATGATATAACATCTCATGAGAGCTCTACTGATTTTGAAACACCAGCCAGAGCGTGGTCGTGATATATTTGGCTCAAACATTAACTAGTGTGTAAGAAAGTTTCACGGTGAGGAAGGATTCTTTTACACAAGTTTAAATCTCCTCTTTGCACTTCTTCAGCGCATTGGCATGTAACCTCAGGGCTTGTTTGGTTTTTTTTTCATTTTCTTTGTGTATAATTTTCTAATTTATCAGCCAAACAGACCAACTGTAAGATTCAGGGCATAACTTGAAACTCAGTTTGAAACTTGACACCCTGTGCACCCAGCTTTGTTCTCTCACTAACAATGGTTTCCAACGCTGTATGCAGGGTATGTTTGACTGGGTGGATATTCTGGAGAGCAAGCTGGATTCAATGTCACCTGTGGGCACGGATCTGGAAACTGTCAAGCAGCAGATTGTGGAACTCAAGGTACAGTCTTGTAGATTTGTTGTTTTTTGTTTTTTTTAGATCAAAACATCATTCACAAAAACAGAAATATTATTATTGTTATAGCTCTTCTCAGACTTTTCAATTCTTTTAACTTGACTCCTTGATGTTAGAGCAGCTGTGTCAAACACCAGCTGTGTTTATGCTGAGTTCTCGATTCATGGTCTGCTTTGTGTTAGTTCAAAAGCACTAAGAAAATGGCTTCATAAAGTAGCCGGATTTACTTTGATGTACAATAAGACAAATCTTGTCCTGAAAACACAAAGCTGGTATTGTCTGTGCGTCCTTCTTTCTGTTGACTGATTGGGTGTACCGCTGCATGTGCTGGGTTGCCAGGAGTTCAAAGGAGAAGCGTACCAGCTACAGATTGAGATGGAGCGTCTGAACCACCAGGCCGGCCTCCTGCTGAAGAAGGTGACAGAGGAGGCTGACCGCTCCGCCATCCAGGAGCCGATGTCTGAACTCAAAATGCTTTGGGACAACTTGGATGAGAAGATCATCAGTCGGCAGGTCAGCGAGAGAAAGAAGCAGAAGGGGAGCTTCACACCAAAAGTGCAAGCTATATAAGAAAACAGAAATGCTGACACTGATATCTAAATTTAAAAGGAATGGCAATATCATGTTTAAACAAGGTCTGCAATCATTCTGTGAAATATATTGTATAGTACCTCTACAGCTTCTTGTGGGCTAGAAACCAGACTCAGCAATGGCTTAAACAGTTTGTTTTCTCTCCCTGCAAAATTAAATGGTTTAATCTGTCATTAATCCAGCACAAACTGGAGGGAGGCCTTCTCGCACTGGGGCAGTTCCAGCATGCACTGGATGAGCTGCTGGCCTGGATGAGCCACACTGAGGAGCTGCTCAATGAACAGAAAAATGCTGGAGGAGACCCCAAAGCCATCGAGATAGAGCTCGCCAAGCACAACGTATGACAAACCTCTTATCTTGTGGTTTTTTAGGGGGCTATTTTTCAAATAAGTCCTTTCAGTTCAGTTTAGTTCAATTTTATTTGTATAGCCCAGTATCGCATACAAAAATGTAAAACACTTCACAGGCATTAAAACCATATTAAGTAAACATTTATGGTATCTGTCAGTTTGCCGTTTATTACAGTAAATTAGTCATTATCCACTTTGTGCTTAATATCCATCTGCACAACATCTTGCCGTTCCTGCTGATTTATCTCTGCAGGTCCTCCAGATAGATGTGTTGGCTCACAAGTCAACAGTCGAGACAGTGAACAAAGCCGGCAATGATCTGGTGCAGTCCAGCGCTGGAGAGGAAGCTTCTAGTCTGCAGAGCAAACTGGAGAATCTGAACCAGCGATGGAAAGCCATCCTGGAAAAGACGGAGCAGAGGAAGCAACAGCTGGAAAGCTCTCTGCTTCAGGTATATTAAAAAAAGTTAACCTGTGTCTCATTTCTTGTTAAATTGTGAGAAAATAGTTTTTAGGTCGAAGTCAAAAAGCTCTGCAGGGAGGAGAGACTTCTCTCCCTACCCCCTTCTTATTATTCGATTTGCATCCTGAAAGCTAAAGTAAATCATTCTATTGTTTTCACTTTAAGGTTTTAATTCATTATGAAACAGGCTTATAAATACCGAGCTAAATGAATCCAAGGAATTAAAAACTCACACATCCTCCTCTCTGAATCACAGGTTGCTAATAGCGAGTGTGTGAGGCACCTTTTGTCCTGACTCAGGTTGAATTGTGTTGCAGGCTCAGGGTTTCCATGGTGAGATAGAAGACATGCAGCAGTGGCTGAAAGACACAGAACGTCAGCTGTTGGCATCAAAGGCTGTGGGAGGCTTACCAGACACGGCCCGGGAGCAGCTTAACGCCCATCTGGTATGTGTTTAACAATATGAGAGGCTGCATACAGATGGCAGACTTGGGAGGAGGTGACTGTCTTTTCTGTGTTTTATCTGAAGTGTGAAAATTAAACGACACTACAAAATACACTACTCTCATTGCCCTGCAGTCTGTGATAAAAAAGACCTCTTTAAGTGTTTCTAATTGATTCATCCGTATCTGACTATAATGAATTTAGGAATGTTTTCCTGCTTTGTCTTCCTACTTTGTAATGGAGACACTTTCACAGTGAGCTCTCCCTTAAGAGGCAGCAGTGGTGACAGTTCAGGGAACTGAAAACAGACAGATTACTTTCATCAAATTAGTAACATTATCCTGGTCAAATGTTTGTGAGAAACATGCTTCTGAGATGCTCGGCATGACTCAACATGCTCATTCTTTAACCATTTTTGGGTTACATTTGGACTAGCGACTGACAAATTCATCCCATTGAACACTGCAGAAATCCAAAAGTAACAATAGATCGGTCTTTAACTGTAATTCAGCCTGTTTGACAAAACCATCACTCTCCTCTGTGTTGTTGTTTTTTTTTTTCATCACAGGAGTTGTGTTCTGCCTTTGAGTCAAAAGAGGAGCTGTATCAGGAGCTCCAGAACAAGGGTCAGCAACTGCTAACGATGATGCCCGAGGGTCCAGACAGTAACACGGAGCAGGACCTCGCCAACCTGAAGGAAAAATGGGAAGCGGTGCAAGCGAAGGTCGCTGAAAGAAAGGTAGGGGAATGACTGAATGGCTTTCACTGCCCTTAGCTTGATGACTCAGGATTTCAGATTAAGGGATCGCTGACACACACTTGAGCCATGACTGTGTGGTTGAAAGCTTCTAATCCCAGTGCCGATAACCAATGGTGTAAAGACAGAGCGCTGGCGAGGACACACAGGATGCGGTTACACTGTAGATCAGAGTGGAACAACAGTGGTGTCATACGTTTCCACAGTGTAGGGTTGACAAAACATCAGCTAATATTTAAGCCAAATGTCATCATTCACTGTGGGGTTTTTTTAGTTTTGTTGCTAAAATGTATAAAACACCACCACTGCTCTCAGATATGGTTCTCCTTATTTTAGCTGCTTCAACTTTTACTGTAACATCTTGCTTTTGCATCCTATTTACTTTGGCCCTCTTCCCAGGAAATCAAAGTCTGGTAAATCTTAGCGCTGGTCAGAGCTTCTGGCCAAACTCTCTACAGCCTTCCCTGTGATACCTCTGCAGTCAAGTGGCTTATTTTTCTGTAGGACATATGCACTGCTACAATACAATTCCATATTTAGCAAGACACTCGACATGACCCACGATAAATGGGAAAAACACATCAGCAGCCGTAATTCTCACCAGGTTTGTAATGTCATTAGCACAGCATTTACTGCCATGTGATGACCCTGAGCCACCGGCCTCAGCTGTACCAAACGGATGTTTTTCAGTGATGGAGTGGCTGTTTCCTTTACTCAATTAAAACCTCATGATGCCTCAGCCATCAGTCCCCTCCAGATATATTAACTTCCTCTCTTTAAATAGAGGTCATGTTTGGCACTGTTGAAGTGCAATTGTATCCCCCGCAGTGCCCTCTTTATCTGTTGCTATAACAACCAGAGATACTTTACACCGCTAAACAATGCACATGTGTTATAAACAGGATAGCGCTCTTTGATTTTTGTCCAGTATTACTTCAGTTTTTTTAACGTTTCGTCTCCACAGGTGAAACTAGAAGAAGCTTTGACTGTGGCTACAGATTTCCACAACTCCCTGCAAGATTTCATCAACTGGCTAACCCAAGCAGAGCAGACGCTGAACACAGTTTCGCCCGCTTCCCTCATACTGGAGACCATCATGTTTCAGATAGATGAGCATAAGGTACGTGTTTGCACGTGGAGGACAGGCCTTCTGGTCCAACTTTGCTTGATTACTAGACATTACTGCGGTAACGTCTAGTAGTCTTATTGAGTCGGTGAGAAATTAAAATTATTAGTACCATGATTACCGGTTCATGATTACCAGCTCATCATTCTGCTTTGTCTTAAAGCCAACAATGACTTAATGGCATCTGTATTATCCTTGAGAACAGAGCTCATTAGCACATTACCCACATGACTTACATTTCCTCTGCTGTCAGTTGAAAAACCTTTATTCCTTTTTTATTGTTAGAACCTGAATCCTTTCCCTGAAAGGCCTGAATCCTTTCCCTTTTCTCCCTCGCATTGTGTCTGTGCAGATGTTTGTGACGGAGGTAAACTCCCACAGAGAACACATTATTGAACTGGACAAGACGGGCACACATCTGAAGTACTTCAGCCAGAAACAGGATGTGGTCCTGATAAAGAACCTGCTGCTCAGCGTGCAAGGGCGCTGGGAGAAGCTGGTGCAGAGGTCTGTTGAGCGGGGTCGTCTACTGGACGACGCCAGGAAGAGGGCGAAGCAGGTACTGTTCTGTGAATATTTATGCTGAGTTTGAACAGGCATGACATCAGGACTTTTTATTATCATTGGAAAGCTCTGGAAATAGGATATTAAACCTGTTTCTTATTCTTTCTGCAGCCTATTACAGAACTTTCTGAATTATAGGGCCCTTCTGCTCCAATCATGCTAACATTAAGCAGGGCTCTGCCATAAATCTAGTGAACTCATACCTGTTTTTAAAATGCTTTACACTGTTTTTTGTTCTTAATTTTTCATTAGTTCCATGAAAATTTCAATAAACTGATGGAGTGGTTAGATGAATCTGAGAAGACGCTGGACTCTGAAGTGGAAATTGCCAATGATCCCGATAAAATCAAGACGCAGCTGGCACAGCACAAGGTAACTAAGAGAAAAATGTGTTAACACAGCCAGAGACATGGAGCAACATCTACAAAAAACGTTTCATTCATTAAACAGAAATATCTGAAACACCAGAGCTGGAATTTGAAAATAGGATCTGTTATTTGAAATTACAGAGTCAGTAGAATCCAAATGCTTACATTGCTGTTGACTATTGTTGTGTTTGTGGTGTTATGCTGGGAGATTGTGCTAATCTTGTCATAATCCCTGAATGGACCAAATGTTTTAAGGCTGCCCTAGCTTTTGGATACATTTAATCTCTATGGAGCAAGAGCTCTTGAGTTTTGACCTCCTTTTTGTTCTCCTCGCTGAAGACTGTATTCTTAATCACAAAAAGCACACACCACACGCAGATTAAGATACTGTTTGACATGCCAGTAGTAATAATAATAAAATCTCTTGAGATGATTTGCTGTTTCCATTTGAAGATAGAGGCATTATGAGTCCACTAAACCGGACCACTTGGGGGTTGTGTATATTATTTTTCCTTTTTTCCCCCATCGTGCAGGAGTTCCAGAAAGCTCTTGGCAGCAAACACTCTGTGTATGATACCACCACTCGAACAGGACGGGCCCTGAAAGACAAGACCACTCTACAGGATGACAGACAGAAGCTGGACGACATGCTGAGTGAACTGAGAGACAAATGGGACACTGTTTGTGGGAAGTCAGTGGAAAGGTGAGGATTTTCTCCCAATGAGGGTTGTATTTCATTCTGCTAAACAGCCTCACTGTGAATATTTTGTTCTGTTCTGCAGACAAAACAAGCTGGAAGAGGCCTTGTTGTTCTCCGGCCAGTTTACAGATGCTCTCCAGGCTCTTATTGACTGGTTGTACAGGGTGGAACCTCAGCTGGCTGAGGACCAGCCCGTACATGGAGACATAGACCTGGTTCTCAACCTGATAGACAACCACAAGGTAGAGAACAGCACCACACCGAAGACCCAGGATCCCTTTGTTTTGTTGATTGGCCCATTTGTTGCTGACGTTAGTGGCAGAAATCAAGTGAAACCTTTCACTGCTGCCACGCCCAAACCTTTTATCATTCCTAACACAATACAAGACGAAAGAATCTTAAACTAACACGGGGGATAGACAATACATTAAAACAACAAAAGGGGAGGCATTGTATTACTTTCTCATTGAGAGTCTGTTTTCTTTCGGGTTGTGTATTGAGCAAAGCTTTGAAAATTGATGCTGGTGTGTTTTTCCTTACTCATTATTAATATTATATTAATAACATTCTTTGTGTTAGCATTTTATTGAAGTAAGAGGACAACAGATACTAAAAGCACCCTGTTTTATGCTTCTTGTCATTGGGCCAGCTGTGAAATAGAGACAAAAAGGATGTTTTTTGAAATAATGTTTAAAATTAATTTAAGAATTTGTCATTTAAAAAACTGGATATTGTTAATATTTTGGCTGACTGTGTCCTCAAATGTCTCGTTACTGCAGGTTTTTCAGAAGGAGTTGGGAAAGCGGACGGTAAGCGTCCAGGCCCTCAAACGTTCAGCCAGGGAGCTGATTGAGAACACTCACGATGACTCCTCCTGGGTCAAAGTCCAGATGCAGGAGCTGAGCACGCGCTGGGAGACGGTGTGCAACCTGTCTGTGTCTAAGCAGACCCGGCTGGAGCAGGCTTTGGGCCAGGTATTCCTGACAGTACTCCAAACAATCACAAGGTAGAAGGTAAGTAAAGTATGTTAGCCTGACATATGCGTCTTCTCCCACTGCAGGCTGAAGAATTTCACTCTGCTGTTCACATCCTGCTGGAGTGGCTAGCTGAGGCAGAGCAAAGTTTGCGCTTCCATGGCAGCTTGCCCGACGATGAAGAAGCTCTGCGAGCGCTTATCGAACAACACAAGGTAAAGCAATGCAAATGATTCTGCTTTTTTTTATTTCAGAAAAAAACTTTTATGTCTTAAGTTGTTTCATATTTTTGTTGCTTTATTAAAGAAATAAAACACGTTGCCAATACTTTGCTTGAATAAACAGTTAAGATCCTGACTCTGTAATTGCAGCCTGTCTAAAAGTAGATGGCATGCTGCTTTCAGTGCCAAAAATATTTTTCTTAACTATGAGGTCATCTGATTAAAATTACTGGCCTCTGCTCCGGTTTTAAACCAAGTATGAGCAATGTTTTGTTTTTATTTTTAGATATGGGATGGGATAGTTTCGAATCCCAACGCTTTTTCAATTAAAAAAAAAAATTCTTTTAAAGGTGTTCATGAAAAGACTGGAAGAAAAGCGAGTGGCTCTAAATAAAGCGGCCAGTATGGGGGAGGCCATTCTCAGCATCTGCCATCCAGACTCTATCACAACCATCAAGCACTGGAACACCATCATTAAAGCCCGCTTTGAAGAGGTCAGTCCACTGTTTCATACCTTCAGGTTTAACAGAACACATTAACCTATTTTGATAAATTAAAATAAGAAAGAATTACTCATTTTAACAAGGGTTGGATCAGAAACTCTTTATAGCACTCAAAAAATCAGAGAAAAAGTTACTATGGATAGTCATTATATTAAAAAAAGTAATAATGATTCATCTTAGCAGGTAAACAAAATCAAGTTGTGTGCAGTTAACTTGATTTCAGTGTATCTGAAATTAATTTAGTTATTAGTAATATAAGTGTATTACTGCTGTTACACAGGTGCAGGCTTGGGCCAGACAGCACCAGCAGCGACTGGCCACAGCCCTCACTGAGCTGCTAGCTACTCAGGAGCTGCTGGAAAATCTTCTGACGTGGCTACAGTGGGCTGAGACCAACCTCAACGACAAGGATAAGGAGCCACTCCCTCAGGAGATCGAGGAGGTCAAAAACCTCATAGCAGAACACCAGGTACATCAAAAAAGCAAATGATAATAAATCTAATTTTATAACTTTAATTTAGTTTTTGTTTTAATTCCATATTTTAATGATTGCGTGGGCATTCAGTTAACAGTCGTTTACTGCTGCTCACCCCCTGCAGGCATTCATGGAGGAAATGACCAGGAAGCAACCAGATGTTGACAAAATCACCAAGACACACAAAAGGAAGGCTGCTGCGGAGCCCCAGATCCAGTCTCAGATCCCCGTGTTGGACAAAGGAAGAGCTGGAAGTATGTATCCCATCACTGTTCCTCATAGAGTATGACCCGAGCCATCTGGCTATGCGCTGAATCACTTCAGGGTGACACGACATCCTCAATTTGCCCATTTTAGCACCTGGAATGATGTCAGTGTGAATGCATTCCTCCTGATTATATGGTGGAAACACAGTCATTTTAAAGTTTTTTGTCTTTCCCTTACAGGAAAACGTTCTCCCACGCAAGCGATGTATGCGTCATCAACACAAGCTCCCATTGAAACAAAGAACCCACGGGTTAACCTGCTGGTGACCAAGTGGCAGCACGTGTGGCTGCTGGCTTTGGACAGAAGGAGGAAACTCAATGATGCTTTGGACAGACTGGAGGAGGTAATCTAGCAAAATCTGCAGACATTTTTCTGCAAATTTCTAGCTTTTTAGTTATTAATGTTGACCTTTCTTTCTTTATCTGCTCAGCTGAAAGAATTTGCCAACTTTGACTTTGATGTGTGGCGGAAACGTTACATGCGCTGGATGAACCATAAAAAGTCTCGCGTCATGGACTTCTTCCGCCGCATTGACAAAGACCAAGACGGCAAAGTGACGCGACAGGAGTTCATAGAAGGCATCCTCTCCTCCAGTAAGTGTCAGACTCAAAGCTGAAAAACATCTACACCGCTGAACAAAATGCTCCTTTTTGCAACACTCAGTGTCTCTTCAACAGAATTCCCAACAAGTCGTCTGGAGATGAGCGCCGTGGCAGACATCTTTGACAGAGACGGTGACGGCTACATTGACTACTACGAGTTTGTAGCAGCTCTACATCCCAACAAAGACGCTTACAAACCACTAACAGATGCTGACAAAATTGAGGACGAGGTAATAAGAACGCCTGCGGCATTAATTTCACATTTTCAAATGTGTGGCGTCGCTTAATAAAAAAAATGATGCGTTCGCAGGTCACGCGCCAAGTGGCGAAGTGCAAATGTCCAAAACGATTCCAGGTGGAGCAAATTGGTGCCAATAAATACCGGGTAAGCACATTTTTATGTGTTTGGCTTATCTAACAGTGAAATCTTTTTAAGCAATACAAGCTGTGACATGGTTATGAAATAATTTAAAATAAAAGACTTTTCAGGGAATACTCTTGTTAAAGGTAAGTGTTGAACATGATGACAAAAGTGCGAATGTGTGCTAACCTTTTTATATTTTTTATTGTTCCTCATATCACCAGTTCTACCTTGGAAATCAGGTACATCCTCTTTTCTTTCCCTCCTTCTCTTCTGTGCCTTATCGAGCCTTGCGTCCTTTTTTCGTTTACCACGTTTGCTGTCCAATTAACACTTTCTGCCCAGATTCCTGGCTGATGTTCTCAGATGTTCTGGAACTCAGAAGTAGAAATAAAAAAAGTCTATGGCCTGCTGATTTAATCTAACCTTATTTAACACTGGCCTGAGATGTGTGTTTGGTCTGAGAATTTATGGTAGCTTCACACATAACTCTAAATCTGATTTAAAATGAGTAAATGAAAGAAGCATGCTTTCAAGTTTTATGGCAGTCGACGTTTATGTCCAATCTAAATTTGTTCTTTTCACATAGGTTATGTTTTTTGGGGGGAAATAAGACTTATTTGCGTTATAATTAGTGCAATTAATGTTTCTATATATATATATATATCTGTATATCTGCTTTTGAGTTTCAGAAAATGCAATATTGGCGTGCCAGTACCATTTCAGCCCATATTTTACTGGTTCATGGGCATAAATTCATCTGCTGGGCATACAATAATGCTTTCTGTGTGCTTGCCTTTGGTGCTTCAGTGTCATGGGAATGATTTACCTCAGCACTGGCTGACACTATTTATTACATTATTTGGGCAACTTTGATGATTTCAATGAACACGTTGCTTTTCACTTCTCTTACTTTGTTAATATGTGCTGGCAACCTGCATGTCGGAAAAAGGTCATTACTGAGGGGTCAGTGAGAGGGGATAGGGGCGTTAGTGATGCTTTATGAACTAGTTTGTATTATTGTTATCACACAACAATAAATTAAAAATAATTCTTTTGACAGTTTGGTCTGGTTCACTGCTTACATGACTCCTTAATCGGCGATGAGACAATAGCAAACAGGGAAAATCAAAATCTTACCCCCCACCTACACGTTGCAGTTTTGGAAAGCTGTATTCTGGTAAATGGTTATTCTTAAGCTGTTTCTTGTGCCTCCTTTTACTCCAGATCATCATCACCTTTAATGTATTTGATCACTAGACTCACCAGTGGCATTAAATCATTATGATAATCATACAAGTGCAGGATTTTTGTTATCAGTTAAAGAGATACCATATGATAATAGGAAGTTAGTGGACCGTCATCAGTGTTTGGTCATGTCTGCGTGTCACACTGTGGTGGTGGATTTAGACAGAAGTGATTTGAACCATTCCTCATGTGTGCCATTTGGAGCTAGCTGCATTGGATCTGCATCAGTGTCAATGCATCCTGAGTATTTGTAGCTGTAGAAAGTGCAACAAAGTGCTGGATTGTAGGAGATTGATGTTTGTGCGTTTGATCAGAATGTGATGTTGATTTTGACAGAAAGCATGCACGCTGTAATTGCAAACTCCGTTTTTGTGCCTGATGCTCATGGTCTCATCCAACTGGCTGACATGTGTGGTATGCCCTCATAAAGCTTGAATCATTCTCCCCATAACATGCTCACTGTTCCTATGTCTGCTATGTGTGGTAGGTGACATGAAGTCAAATTATTACACACTGGGGCCCCCTGGTGGTGTAATCATGTGCCTTCAGTTATGGTGTTTTTTTTCTTCACAGGCTCCTTCTGCAGTAAAAGTGGAGTCTTACATTGCTGAGATAAAGCCAGACACATAGACATTACAACCAGAAACCACAATTACACAGTGATCACTGAAAAAAGAGAGGAAAAAATAGGCTGGTTAAGTTTGTAAAGCTGTGAAGTTTGATGTATTTACTGCTTTACAACATCTCATATTAAGTTAACCCTCAACAGCAGCAGGTATGAATGTAGAGCCTGACTGATGATATGGCTTTGAGGCTGATTCTGATAGCTCTAATTAAAAATACAAATGAAATTATATGATTAAAGGAAAAAACGTTATTTGCTAATCTGTCAGCATCAGCATTTATTGGGATTGATAAATGAAAATTAAAAAGTAAAAAAGAGACGGGAGAAATAACCATTCAACCATGTTATGAGTGTTGATGTGTGTCCACCAGAGGGCGCTCTGAAAACATTCCGAGCAGAGGTGGGCATGTAAATAAATAACTTCACATAACCAATGTGAGGTTTTTTGTGCATGACAGAGAAAAATATATTGGCCATTGGAATATCATTGGTACGGGTATCAGTAAAAATCATTCGGGCTTCACAAAATTCATGATAATGTCACAAAAAGCTCTTTTTGAACGTTATGTTGTGTAATTATTTTATTGTCTTATTTACACAGATACCAATATCCTGTATGGGATATCTGAAGTAAATGAATATCAACTAACAAAATCAGTCAGGCTCTACTTCAAGTTGTAGTGTATAGTAAATGAATCAATGACTATGAAGTAGTCAGTTTACTGTAGCATGAACTCAATGAGTAACTAGAACTAGTAACTAGAACTAGTAAAACAATAGCACACGCTTGTAGAAAACAAAAAAAGTTGGATTGACCTTTGTGTAATTTGTGTTCTGTTGTGTCTGAGAATGAAAAGATAAAATTCATGTTTTTGTGTCAAAATCTGTTTGTGTTTATGATTGTATGTCTACGTGTGTGTGTTTAAACCTGTACAACATATAAGAGAAACCAGAAGCAGATGTGAATCTTTTCCGACGGGTCGTTTTTGAAGCTCAGTGAAATAATCTGGATGAAAGCCATCTGCTCCCCCACAATTAAAATAATTAGCTGGAATAAATGTAACTCTTCATTCCACTCTGGTTTCCAGTGTTGCACAGCTTCTGGTCTGCAGTGTGGATGTGCTCACAGGAAGGTCAGGTTTTTCACACATTCCCCTCTCTATTTTCCTTCCCCCATCGCAGTTTGGAGACTCTCAGCAGCTTCGCCTTGTGAGAATTTTGCGCAGCACTGTGATGGTGCGGGTGGGAGGAGGCTGGATGGCACTGGACGAGTTTCTGGTGAAGAATGACCCCTGTCGAGGTGAGTTCAAAGGTTAACTTTGAGGAGTCACGATCCAATTTTGTTTAAAGGTCAGCTGTTGTACTGACTTTCACTTTCTTTGTTCGCGTGCGATGAAAGAATTTGATTGTATATCACTGTTTTTTACTACCCACACATGGAGGATGATGATGATCTGGATTAAGATTACTGTGTATTCAGTGATGTTAGCTCAGTTATTGAAACATGAAATGTAACTACTGTCCAATGTCTATTTATATAGGCCTGTTTGAAATGGCAACTTGGAGCTTAAAAATAGAAGATATATCACATATATATCGATAATTCATGCAATATATTATATTATATCTTTACATAATATACTGCAATTTTCTGAGGGTTAAAATGAGTTTATTTTCTTTTGTTCCCGCTATCTCAACACTGAACGCTTGAATGAGATAACACAGTTAAATCATCTGTTAAAAATATATTTCATTTGTAAGCATATTTTTATTAACAGTGCTGCCTACATATATACTTATATATACCATAATGCGACCCACATTTAGCTTTGGTACTCCGACATGTTTCTGCTAGCATCTGTATTAATGATCAATTTCTGTTTTTCCCACTAAACCCGCCTCCTGCTCAACATGAACATTTCTTCTAGTGCATCACCACGGGAGCAAAATGTTGCGCTCGGAATCAAACTCTTCAATTACTCAGTCTCCTATAGGTTGGCAAATCTCAAACTTTCTCACCTTGCTCCATGAACCCACCAGTGGTATGTGTGTCTGCACATCCGAGCTTGTGTTGGTCCTGGTGTGTGCCGTACTGTAGCTGCGTGTGAGCGCTCAGTGTGAAAGAATGTCATCCTCGGAAACCGGCTCCACCTGCAGTCAGCTGTCGTTCAGCTGCGGCTGGTTTTCATGCATGCAGTTGTTTGTGGGAATCACATCACCTTCGAGCACTTCAGCACAATGAAACTGGCTCATTTTACTCACGCCGCATGTCATAGGGAGCTCTGAGTCAAGCTTCTTTTTACAGTCCAGGGTTCGAGCTGTGCTTATCTGACTGTATTGCCTGGTAGTATAGGCTCCTTCATAGGGGAAAATGGTTACATTGCCTCTATGAAACACACGCCACAAAACCGAAGCAGTATTTCTTACACCATTTACTTTGTTTGACAGGGTAGCTTAGTGTTTAAAACTGCATGCAGGTCTGTTTGTTTTCAATGTAACCGTACTGTTTAGTTTATACGCTGTAGTTTAGTTTCCTATAATTCTTCTTCTTTGGTTTTTGAGAGTGTTTAGACTCACTTTGATTTATTTTAGTTTTCTCGCTGTCACTTATTCCACTACCGTTGCAACAGGAACTGGACGTCTGTTCAACAGTATGGATGAGATATGAAACTGCATGAGCTGTTTTGTTGTTGAGTCACATCATGATAACATTTCATTGGTCTGTTCTTTGGGGTCGCCTGGAAATTGCTGTGTAGTTCAGTGATGATTATAAGAAAAATACATTGGTAAATTTCCAATTCATTATATTACCGTTAGAAGCAACAGATTTCTACACAGCCGGGAATACAGCTTAGCATGCAGTGTTGTGCACGACAAGACATGCACAAGTCTGGAGCCACCCCTCATTTCTTTATATTTTGCATCGAAGGATCCAGAATGTTTGGTAAATTTTTGAAAGTGGTCTTGAGCAATAGTTCTTCTGGGTTTCTGGAGGTCTTTCAAAATGTTTCTTTGGACATTGGCTGCTTTTTCACTCATTTTTATTCTGACTAGCATCAGAAGAATGCTTTTTGTTTGTTAAGATGAATAACACCGTCCTGTGAATCATTAAAACATAAATCAAGGCAACTTTACGCAGTGTTATCTACACACATCAGACAATCTAGCAAAGAACCAGTTTTAAATGGTATATTTAGGTACTTGGTTACTAAGAGCCTGTTGCAAAAACTCATGTGGCTGTCAGGACGCAATTTTTAAGAATAAGAAACAGAGAAGAGGCTGATGCGCACCAAATTAGGCAAGAACTGCACTGAAAATAAGTGGCAACATGTCTTAAGGAGTGATAAATTCAAATTTGAAATTTTTGGTTCAAATAGTGATCAATATGTACTGAAGAAGTCAGGACAGACACAGCAGTAAGTGTCTGCAGCAATCTGTAAATCTCAGTGGGGTTCTGAGCTTCATTCAGTCAGTGGTGTCGGGGATCTTGTCAAAATTGTTGGAATCATGAACAGAAAAAACTACCATTAGATTTGGATCCACATACATACAATACCATCTGGAGAGGATCTGACTGACAACAGCGTCATTTAACAGGATGACAGTGATCCTGAGCTCACAGTGAAACACTGTCTGTCATGGATTGGGCTCCCTTGAGCCTGAAGCTCAACATTATTATTGTGCAACAAAATGCAGCCAACATCTAAAAAAGACATTTGAATATCCTTCAGTAAGATTGGAGAGCTATTCCTGAAGACTGCTAAGTATCAGAAACTATAAGAAGCCTTTCATAAGAGAGTTCAAACTGTGCTGAAGAAGAAAAGCTCATTAGAATTGTTCAGACTTCGCCTCATATACTGTTTTCCCATTTACTCTCAGTCTGCATGTTTTAATAAATCTCGGCATCTCTTTCCCATTTTTCTGGCACAATATAAAGAAATGAGGGGATGGGTTGTTAACTCACCATCATCTTAATCACCATTAACACAAAAATAACAGTGACAGGTGTATTTGTGCATCATGGCTCATTTTGAGTGTCTTTCTTAGCTAAAGGCAGGACCAATGTGGAGCTGCGAGAGAAGTTCATCCTCCCAGAGGGAACCACTCAAGTGATGGCAAGCTTCCGCTACAGAGGCCGGAGGTCTCGGCCTTCATCTCGAGGAGCTTCTCCCAACAGATCCACCTCCAGTCAGAGCCTCCCCGTCCCCATCAACCCAGCAGCGACCAGCACACCCAAGGTGAGAGGCTACATCTGCCATTAGAGCTGGCTGCTGCCTCATTCTGTCTCACCCCCAACCTCTCCACCACCATCATGATTTTCCTCTCATTTATCTGCTTTTTAATTTGTTTTTGTTTTTTTCATTACCCTTGCAGAATTTGGTCATTTTGTTGTTTGATTTCTGTGTTTCTTCCATCTAGTGTTCCTGATAGTTTTTGAGTTTGTGAATCCATATCTCTGTCTTTTGATTTGCCGTTGTTCCCCAGAATCCCCAACACATAACCCGCAATTATGATAAGCCATGGCTTACAAACAGCAAACCCTCCACTCCTCTTAAATCATCAGACTCCTTTGGGAGCCAAGGTTCATCCTCAGAGGTATAGTCATAATACAGCACATGATGTGAAACACTTCAGATATATGACCCAACTGAAATCTATTAAAAAATCTTAAAAAGAAAGAAAAAAGAAGAAGAAGCAAAAAGTGCCTTTTTGTAGATTTATTTCTGACTTCATTGGATTTGAAGATGCAAAATGAGCTTATTAGATTTTATTTGGGTTTGTAACCTTTATTTTTCTTGAATAATTGGCTCAATCACTAACTCTTTTCTTTCCTAACCTTTATTTTTTATACCACTACATCATGTACAACTTCATACGTCGCCTCTGCATGTCATTAATGTCTAATGACGTATTGCTCTGCTGTACATGAATTCATACTAACTGCATCTGACAGACACACCTCAGTTATGGGAAAAATTATGATTTTACTAAAATGTTTCTTTTTAAAAAAATAAGAATTAAGACTAATTTTTATTACATATACATACATACATTATTACATATACATACTCAAGACTTTTATTTTTAAAAATTTAGTCTCCTATTTTTTTTTTTTTTACTAATAATTGCATCTGATTACATTTTAATAAAAGTTTGTTTCTTTCGCAGAGTAATGCGGTTCAAGGCAGCAAATTGCGTTTGCCTGGGTACCTGTCCGGCAAAGGATTTCAGTCAGGTGAAGAAGGAAGCTTGATCAGTGCTGCTGTACTAAAAGCTCGAACGCAGACAATAGGTGGTGAGTAGAAAGCATCATCTTTGCAACTTTTTCTCCACATCTATCCATCGCACTCACATCTAAATTTGAATTCCTTTTTCAGTGTTTCTTAAAGTGTTTCCCGATTTTATCTCTCTAGAATCGAGAAAAAATTCCAGCCGACCAGGAAGTAAAGCCGGAAGCAGAGGAAGCAGTCGCAGAGGAAGTGACGCCTCCGACTTTGACATCTCAGACATCCAATCCGTGTGTTCAGATGTTTCCGAGACGGTCGGCGACTCTGCCAGAGCGACGCCGCGCTCCGCGTCCCGTCAACACGGAGGGAAACCCTCTAAGATCCCCACACCTCAAAGAAGAATGACCCCTACAAGCAAACTGGCCAAGGGATTGAAGCGATAGACAGTGGCCTTGAAAACAAACAAACAACAAACCCAGGAGCTATTTGCACCCTAAACACATAATGGACACTGGAGATGTGTAACTTAAAGAAAAAAAAAAGTAAAAAAGACTGCAAATGTGTCACGTGTTATTTAAATTCTTGCAAAGATGTAAAATATTCTGTTAAGAGGCAATATTGTTTAATATTTTGTGAGAATGGAAAGTCAATGGCCTTGTGTATTTGTTTTTAATGTATTTTATTTTTTGTGAAAATATGCCAAATTGTTTTTATTGTACTTTATTTTTATTTATGCAAATCCTGAAGAGGATTGATGAACACTAGAAAATCTGGGAATGATCAAGCCGAACTAACATTTCTACACTAATGAAGGGCAAAGATGCAGGATACTGAATGTACTATTATTTATGTATGCTTTTGTTTGGAGTAGATGGTGCATTATGGTACCGTTTGACACACTGCGATTATCTATTTAAGTGCTATGTTATACTGCCAACATGCATTTAAAGGGCAATGCAATATATTACAATAAACCCCACTAAGCACTGCAGAAGCCTTCGAAAACCCCTATTTAAGACAAGTAGCAAAAACCTCGTAACCATGATGCTTTTATGTACCCGTTTGTCAGCAGCTGCAGCCCGTCTTTTGTTTAACCACCTCACAGCAAATGAGTACTCTGACCTCGAAGAGGTACCACTTCATGTAGACATTCTCTGTGCATCCATGTCAATGTATGGTTAATTTCGGTAGAGCTGAAATTGTTACTGTAACATTACTTTGTAATAAACCTGCTTGCAGAAAGCCACCAGAGACTGGTGTGCACCACAGAATCGCCTCTGTCTCCTCTGTTATTTTTAGCTGCATGGGCAACTTCACAATGGCCCTGTAGCTCTGATGTTGGTCACACCACCAGCCAATCTCTCAATAGCTGTCTGAAAGATTTCCCTGAATAGGCTCCGGGCTCCCCGCAACCTTGATTTGGATAAGTGAAAGAGACTGGATGGATATTTCTCGTCATCTCTGTTTGTCTGTCAATTTTTTTTACATAAGCTGGAGAACTTGGGAAATGGGAACTTGTTTTATTAAGCAAAATTTCAAACCAGTTTTGTTCTGGGTTTGTTTTGTTTTTTCATGTGTTGCCGGTATTTATTGTATGCAGCATAATTCAGCAGTGTTTAGGTGCAGTGGCGGGTTAGATTGAAGGTGTGATCTTTTCTACATGGAATGTTTGCAGAGCGTCTTGTGTTTAGCTGTGACATACTGCATCTTTCTCTCAGAGAAACTGATTTTCCGCAGGCAAATCACTAAATTCAACTATTTTTTAGCATAACTGATCAAAATTTTGATCAAAGTTCAAGGACAGGATTAGTTTCCAACACTGAAGCATCATTTCAGTAGTTTTAACTTGCATGAAGTATGCCTGCACCTCTTCAATGTGGTGACGCAGGGCTGTTTAGTCATCTTAGGTCTGGCTGGCGTATGAGAAGAGAAGGATCCTTTGGGGACCAAAGGTGGAGTGGAGCTCAGGGGTTCTCAGGGATCCTGTGATTGAATGATCCTCCTGCTCAGCTCAAACACCGGCCCTGTGATGGCACTTTAGAACGGTTTAAATCCACACACCAGAAACTGGGAAAGATCCATCAACGGGAACTCCCAGAAGCTTCACAGGAATATGTAAGTAATTCTAATATTCCATACAGTTTTCTTAACTTTTACATTTAATACAACTTAAGGAGGTAGCAGGAAAGTTTTAAAAGCAATAAAGGATATCAGGTTGTTGAGCTGAGGACATTTTAATTGGATCAGTTACACATGTTATCTAGTTTTGTAATCATAGTATAGGTAATATTCTAGGTGCTTAAACTGCAAATCATTTGCGTAGGCAAAGCTGTAACTACAGCTCATACTGAAGATAATCTTGCAATAAAACATAGTCAGAAAAATGCTTTCTTATTGGTATTATTATTACTCTTAGTTTCCTTCTATTCTTTTGATATCTTTAACCTTTGTGCATGGGTAGGGAGTACTTTTGGACGACATCGGAGAGTTTCACAAAGCCTATATTAACATAGTGTGCGACCTGATCTCTTAGAATTATTGGTTTGTTTAATTGCTGTATTACAGGCACTTATAATCCCAGACATCAAAAAACTGAAAATGCCAGCTCAGAAAAATATGCTGGTGTTTGTGGCTCTCTTTTCTCTTTTGCGACCGGCCCAGTGTCAAAAGTTGCCAAGTAAGTTTGCATTTTTTAAATGCGTAACCTCATATTACTGCCTATTTTCGAATGTATAAAAATAACAAGTTTTTATGCATCATAACCAAATGTAGACAGGTGTTGGTTGATTGTGTGGGTGCAGCTCTTGTTATACATGATGCCATCTAATCTCAGATCAGCCCTTTGTGGTAAAAAAAAGTAAACGGCAGTTATAATCCTAAATATCATATTAAGAATTAGTTGTTTTTTTCTTTTTCTTTTTTTCTAAACGGTAGCCCACTACTGTACTCTGACCAGCAGATGTCACTGTTTGTCAGCCCAGTGCCTGGTCCAACAGCTGCTCCATGCCAATATGCACAGTAAAAGGTGTGCAGAGGTCAATCTAGGGTTAAGATTTGCACATTAAACTTTGAACTCCTGCAGCAGAGCTACGCTGTCACTAAAAAACAGTTATCGTTGTGTTTTTATTTCTTTTGATAGAAAACAGAGCAGCAAAAAAAAAAAAAAAAAAAAGAGAGAAATCAGGAACAAATGTTTTGAGGATTAGATTACTAGTTGGAGCCAAAGAGTGTGCAGCCTGAAACATTTTTTTTTTAAAACATTTTCTTAGCTATGGTGTCCTGTTCAGTATCCACAGATTAAAGTCACAAACAAGCCAATTCACATAAAAATAACCTGGCAACAGTGTTTTCCAAAAAATCTAAGGCTAATATTTCTTAGCAGGTGTATATTTAGGTCACAGTGTCTGTAATCATAAACATTCCCCAGCTTTAATCTGAACATTTACAGGAAATTCTGCAGCAATGCTGATCTCATTCAGAGTGCAGTACAAAGCATCCAGTGTTTAAAATTTAGTGGTTAAATTCACCCATGAAGGAAAATAAACAGCCTTGTTGTGCTAATGGGTTTAATGGATTACCTCACTGATTAGATGGCATTAATAACAACACTGAGTAATGCATCTATCTAATAAAAGTCGGTGATATCAGCAGTGACGTAAGATTCAGAAATAGTCCAACACCTTTGATGCTCAACCAGTTATAAAGCAAACTAACCTGAGTGTTTGTGCTGCGAGGTTTTGACTTACTGGAGGAGTTTCATGTGCCTGACTCAAGAGGAGTGAGGAGGGTGGACGGCTCTCAACCTGAGGCAGTGGCCTACCGTATCAACCCCTCCATCCATCTACAGAAGTCCATGAGGTACAGATCTGCTAAACCTCACTAGAGCTTAGAAATAATTAAAAACTAGCTTAAGAGCACTCTGAGAACTTCCCCCGAAGGTCTACACTAAAACTTTGATGTTTTATGTTGTTTTATTATAATATGAGGATGTCAGCCTCCTCTTATTGGCTGATGTCTGACCTTTGGCCTATGACCTTGAGGCATTACATGCTGACTTTTAAATATCTTTATTCATATGACTGGAGCAGAATTGCCTGAAATCTTTAGCTTCTATAAGCTGTGAAAACTTGAGAATATAAAGATATAGTTATCCGTGTGCGATTTTGCCAAACCATAAGGCGTCATTGTGAGATCTTAGGGCATCATGCTGACAAAATAAAAAAGTTTGTTGTACAGCTCTCTTCATTCCCTTTCATATAATATATTACTTGATACGGATCTCAAGTGGTGTAACCAAGGTGTGTGTAGGAGTGCACACTGAATATCAGGTGTGGTCACAGGTGCAGCAGAGGACACCTCTGATCACACTTTATCTGGTCAGGAGTGCAAACGGAGCTGAGTCCTTTAATCTTTCAAGACTGGTGTTAAATTTCTCTTTGTTGAACAACTTAACACTGACAACTGTTGTGTCTGCAGTATGAACAAACAACTGTGGTGTAGGATTCTGGTACAGGTGTCACTGCAGGTCAAGTTCCCACAGTAGAGCTTTTTCACATCAGAGAATTTGACTTGTCACAGTAGGAAAATCACAGGTGCTAATGATGGCTTCGTTTTGCTCAGAGAGGGAGATCCTGCCTTTGTGCAAGTTCACCGTTTAAAACATCTGTTTTAAAAGCTTAGCAACATCGATTGACACTTTATTATGTAGAAAATGCATTTTAACATTTTTTTTCCTTCTTAGTTTTGTGCAGACTACAGCTGTAGATTAGCTACCAAGCTAACTTTGGCACTAGTGATATATAAAACTCCACCACCACCATAGTTCAAGTGTCTCAGTTTTTACTTCTTCATATAAAATAAAACTATTAAATTCCCAGAATTTTTTTGCTGATTTTTGAAATAAAGTACCCTCTGTTTAGTCACCCAGCCCTCTAAACCTGATTCTTGTGCCACAGCGACGTGTACCCAGATGGACTTCCCTCCGACTACTCGGTCATTGCAACATTTAGGGTGACCAAAGACACTGCCAAGGAGTCCTGGAACCTGTGGCAGATCAGTGACCCTGAGGGACAAGAGCAGGTTGGCCTTCGGTTCCAGGGTGATACACGTTCCTTAGACTTCTTCTTCACAAGCCCCCATGGGAGCCAGAAGCTGAGGACCTTCCATGGTGTGGAGAAGGTCTTTGATGGAGAGTGGCACAAGGTAGGACTGAGTGTGAAGGGCAGCCAGGTGAAACTGCTGATAGACTGTGAAGAGATCAGAGTGGAGTCCATTGATGAGCCAAGGCCAATCATCCACCAAGGATATACCTCCATTGTAAAGCGTGCTGCAGGAGATCGCTCTGTGTCTGTATGTTGACACTTTGCATTTGCAATTATCTTAACTAGTCTTTGTTTTGATTTTTTTTATATAGCTTTATTTTCTCATATTATCTTCCGTTTCTTTCAAGGTGGATTTACAGCAGATGGAAGTGTCATGTGACCCAGAAAAGGCCTATTCAGAAGGTTGCTGTGAGCTCTCGAGCATGGTGAGTCATCCATCTAACATCACTGCATCTCTGTTTTTAGTGATAGGTGTGGAGTATGTGTGGAGTCACATGGTTACCTATATGTCCATTGCAGTGTGGAGGATATGCAGTGATCGGCCTCACAGGGGGAAGACCCTCTTGCAAATGTATGCATGGGCAGCCTGGCATCCAGGGCGCTCCAGGACCAAAGGTGAATGTCATTCTGCATGCAACTGGCTCAAGTTGACAGACAAGTTGAATCTGTCATGCCATATTTTTTATTCTTCTGCAGGGTCATAGAGGCCTTCCGGGAGAGGATGGAGACCCAGGGAGACCAGGGAACTGGGTAAAAAATATACAATATTCCATGAAAGCGTCAAACCTCACTGGATGAATGCATACTGCAGTATACAATACATCACGTATTCTCAGCATGAGCAGAATCTTCTTCCTCTTGCCGCTCAATAAAGAGTTAAGCTGGCTTGTGGGTGAGGGAGACTGTAAAACGTTCATTCGTGAGACAGCAGCAAAGCTGTGGAAAATGGCAACCGAGGCACAACTGAGAGACGACAGGATGGAAACAGATCTGGAAGCAGAAGCGCTTAGCGATAGTAAACACGGGGGCTCCATTCACAGTTCGAAAACTCATGTTGAAGAATCCTAGATAAACATGAACCAACATGGATGCGACAATAAGCTGTTGTTGTAGCTCTGAAATATGCATTTGCATCTTAAAATTTAGGCGCTGTTGTTTTAGAATAC